TGCTTGCTCTTTCTCTTTCTCTCGTTATAATATCTATTCTTGTCCTCTCTCGTTCTACGCTGGGTATATAAAGAGTAGACAAGAGAGAATAAAGGCATTCTGGTGTGGAATAAACATTAAAATCGTTACAACCGGGACCCAGTTACTGGCACTGGTGCACACCTATTTGAATACCAGCAGTTTTGATTCTGAAATAGTATACATAGAATGAAACAAGAGTATAGTTAAAAGAATCGATCTTTCATTATTAAGTAGTCAGCGCCTGTGGATCATTCGATGACTATATATCGCGCCTTCTAGTCCATTGTACTTAGGATAGCAGGGGGTGCGGATTCGAGTTCCACGAAGGTGATCTTTTTTCATTTTCTCTTTAATCACTGCATGACTCATTCATTCTATATTTTCCGTTCTATTATATTTACTACATACATCCTCGGACTACTAATTACGTAGTTAAGATCATTGGGTGAATTTTGAAATACTTTCCATGTACAGCAAATGCAAAGAAATTTATTCCCGAGCAATCTGGGTATAAGCTGACTTTGTTTCAATAAAGTTCACCAATGAGAGCACGTAATCTATTGTTTTATGAATAACTAGAGTTTTGGTACAGTGTAAATTTTAAATAGTTCAGCTCAAGTAACTACTATGCTGATAACATTGGAGCATATTATTTCATTCCTGGTTTAGTGACATCTTTTATCAGCAATGATGATTCAGTAGTTAGCTATGTTTATTTTTCGATACACTGGGTTTTTTCTCAGTCGAATTTTCAAATATAAATACGAACAGAGTGACATGGTAAATGAATTTTTTCGAAAGTGAGCCAGAATTCATAAATCAAATCAATATTAGTAAGGTAAGTTACAGCAGTTTCAGAAAAAATCCTTGTGTTATGCATAAACAATGATGGATAAATAATAGAAAAAAGGATCTGTTGCTGTATAAAAGTCAAGGGGGCAAAAGCGGATTGTGGTATCCCGGTATCCTGTGTATCCCCGATGTATCCTGTGTATCCCCGATGTATCCTCTGTATCCCCGATGTATCCTCTGTATCCTCGTTGTATCCTCCGCACCCTGACCGTATCCCGGATACGCGAATCCGTGAAAAATCTGCGTATCCGGAATGCGCTGAGGACACATTAGGGATACAGAGGATAAAGGCGATATATTGCGAATATAGGGAATTCCTGGATCCGATTTTCTCCCAAGCGGAGAACAATGAAAAACTGAGTTATCTGCAAGGGGGAAACATCGAACTTCTGTACGTTACATACTTTCCGTACTTCAAATACTTTAATCTACTCTAAAGTACTTTCACTTACATTGTCAGACAGATCTCTGGGATCTCAGAGAGGTCTCTAGGGTGCAACGGTGACGATGACTGAAGGTACGGTTACCGGTCCAACTGCGATAACCGTAGGTGCGGTTACAGGTTCAAACGCATTGGCAAGAAAAGCACCATGTTATAAGAAAATAACGATATTTCATAAAGGTTGACGATAGTAAATCGAGGTCGGAGAATCCGAATCTGAAGTCAGCTTTTGAAAATTTTGAGTTGTAGTCTTCACATATAATGTTTGTTACGAATAAATTTTTCTAGAAAAAAAAGACGATTTTCTAGAAGCGGTTTAGTCTGGGGGAGAGAAAATTGAAAAGTTCAAGGATCTGATTTCAGATTTGGATTCTCCGACCTCGATTTACTTTCATCAACCTTTATGAAACATCGTTATTTTCTTATAAAATGGTGTTTTTCTTGCCAATGCGTTTGAATCGGTAACCGTACCTACGGTTATCGGTTTGGACCGGTGAAACGGTGACGGTTAACCAGTGAATGATCGTCACCGTTGCATTCCTAGAGGTCTCTAGGTGATCTAGGGTATGTGTCAAGTGGATCTCTGGGGGTTCTTTAGGAAATCTCAGGGAGATCTCTAGGGGATCTGACAAGTCTCTCAAGTGGATTCAAACAAGACCTCAAGTGGATCTCAGAATGGTCTCTAGGGGATCTTAAGGAGAATTTTAGGGTACCTCAGGGAGATTCCTATGGATTTTCAGGGAAGACTTCAAGGGATTTCAGAGAGCTGTTTATGGGAGGTTACCGAGGTCTTTAGGAGATCTCATAGACGTCTCTAAGGGTTTCGTCCTGATCTCCAGGGGACCTCGAGAACGTCTTTATGGGATTTCGGAAGGATCACTAAAGGATGCCGGGAGACCTTGTTCGGTTCGCTTGTGGACATCATTGAGATTACCGAGAAAGCTCTCTTAGTTCCCCTAAAGATCTCAATGTGATCCGCTGAAGATTTCATTCAGATGAGCTACAGACGTTCCTGATGTCCTCTAGAGAGCCCCTGACATCCTCCTGAGGCCACCATACGAACCCCGTAGTTTTCTGTAAGACCCACTAGAGACCCCTGAGATCTGGTGAAGACTTTACTAAGATCCTCTTAAGATCTCTCTTGAATTACCAAAATATCTCCATAAGACCCTGCAGAGATCTTCCAGGGATCCCCTGAAGACTTCCCTGAGATCTTGCAAGTATCTCCATAAGACCCACCAGAGACCTCCCAGGGATCCTCTGGGGCTTCCCTGAGGTCTTGCAAGTATCTCCATAAGACTCTCCAAAGATCGCCTTGAGATCCTTGAAGACGTCTCTGAGCTTTCCAGAAGACATCTCTCAGATCTCCTAAAGATCTCGATAAGATCCGTAGAGACCTCCTTTGGATCCACGAAAGACATCCCTGAGATCCTCCAAAGATGTCCATAAGACCATCCAGAGCCATTGCTAAGATCTCTAAAGATCTCCGTAAGACCCTCAAGTGACCTCCCTGTGAGCCACGAAAGACTTTTCTGAGATCACTGAGGGACCTCCCTCAGATCGCTTAAGACCTCCTTGAGATCCTCTAGAGACATGTCTGAGTACATGATTGTACTTTTTTGTACTTTAAAGTACAGTAAAGTACTTTAAAGTACGTAAAAGTACGATGTTTCCCCCTTGGTCCGTATTCTTTGAATCCCAGCCGTATTTCGGATAGATGGAATCCATTTCCGCCCCCCCCCCCCCTTGATGATTAGGCACTACACTATTTAAACAGTTTTATTTTTGTTTTCATGTTAATCGAAATATATAAAAAAGGCGTTTCAAACTCTATGTATTGATGAGAGGTCTTCATCAGAACTGATCAGNTTGGGAAGAGAAAATTGAAAAGTTCAAGGATCTGATTTCAGATTTGGATTCTCCGACCTCGATTTACTTTCATCAACCTTTATGAAACATCGTTATTTTCTTATAAAATGGTGTTTTTCTTGCCAATGCGTTTGAACCGGTAACCGTACCTACGGTTATCGGTTTGGACCGGTGAAACGGTGACGGTTAACCAGTGAATGATCGTCACCGCTGCATCTCTAGAGGTCTCTAGGTGATCTAGGGTATGCCTGAAGTGGATCCCTGGGGGTTCTTTAGGGAATCTCAGGGAGACCTCTAGGGGATCTGAAGAGTCTCTCAAGTGGATTCAAACAAGACCTCAAGTGGATCTCAGAATGGTCTCTAGGGGATCTGAAGGAGAATTTTAGGGTACCTCAGGGAGATTCCTATGGATTTTCAGGGAAGACTTCAAGGGATTTCAGAGAGCTGTTTATGGGAGGTTACCGAGGTCTTTAGGAGATCTCATACACGTCTCTAAGGGTCTCGTCCTGGTCTCCAAGGGACCTCGAGAACGTCTCTATGGGATTTCGGAACGATCACTAGAGGATGCCGGGTGATCTTGTTCGGTTCGCTTGTGGACATCATTGAGATTACCGAGAAACCTCTCTTAGTTCCCCTAAAGATCTTAATGTGATCCGCTGAAGATTTCATTCAGATGAGCTACAGACGTTCCTGATGTCCTCTAGAGAGCTCCTGACATCCTACTGAGGCCGCCATACGAACCCCGTAGTTCTCTGTAAGATCCACTAGAGATCCCTGAGATCTCCTGAAGACTTCACTAAGATCCTCTGAAGATCTCTCTTAAATTACCAAAATATCTCCATAAGACCCTCCAGAGATCTTCCAGGGATCCCCTGATGACTTCCATGAGGTCTTGCAAGTATCTCCATAATACCCTCCAAAGATCACCTTGAGATCCTTGAAGACGTCCCTGAGCTTTCCAAAAGTCATCTCTCAGATCTCCTAAAGATCTCGATAATATTCGTAGAGACCTCCTTTGGATCCACGAAAGACATCCCTCAGATCCTCCAAAGATGTCCACAAGACGACCCAGAGCCCTTGCTAAGATCTCTAAAGATCTCCATAAGACCCTCCAGTGACCTCCCTCTGAGCCACGAAAGACCTTTCTGACATCACTTAGGGACCTCGCTCAGATCGCTTAAGACCTCTTTGAGATCCTCTAGAGACATGTCTGAGTACATGATTGTACTTTTTTGTACTTTAAAGTACATAAAAGTACGATGTTTCCCCCTTGGTCCATATTCTTTGAATCCCCGCCGTATTTCGGATAGATTGAATCCATTTCCGCTTCCCCCCCCCCTTCCCCTTCTCCCATTAATGATTAGGCACTACACTATTTAAACAGTTTTATTTTTGTTTTCATGTTAATCGAAATATGTGAAAAAGGCGTTTCAAACTCTTTGTATTGATGAGAGGTCTTCACCAGAACTGATCAGTTATTAATCCGATGATATACAACCCATATTTTATTAATTTTCTGCTTAGTATCAAACTGTGTCTTCTTAATCTCAGAGGTATCCTATGTATCCCCATTGTATCCTCCGTATCCCNACTCGATTTTGATATTTTTATTCAAAAAATATAGTCTTTAGAATTGAAACCACATTATTTTCTATTAGGGCGTCAACCATTATCTCTCAAAATTAAAATTATCAATTTTATTGTCTAAAGTTATTCGAAAAGTTCAATTGCACGATATATCATTAGAGAGGTCTTACCGGACGTTGTTGTTGTTGTTGTTGCCGTTGTTGTTGTTGCGGATGTTGTTGTTGCTGTTGTTGTTGTTGTTACTGATGTTGTTGTTGTTGCTGATGTTGTTGTTGTTGCTGATGTTGTTGTTGCTGTTGTTGCTGTTGTTGTCGTCGCTGTTGTTGTTGCTGTTATTGTCGTTGTAGAGATGCCGATCAAGGCGACAAGCATTGCAGCAATGCCCGCGCTTAGAAGAAGAATAGCAAGTACAGATAGAAATAAACAGACAGGTGAATATTGGCAACGAATGCGTTTATAATAACTAAGTGAACGATTTTCAAAGCTTAATAAGAAAAAATGTAAAACAATTATTTACTGATTCTTTTTATTTTGCTTCGATGCTTGCTGATGGATGTCCTGAAGATCCACTCCACTTGACAATGAGCCAGTTGCCTGAATTAATTTAAAAGATGAACATAGAAAAAAGAAAAAGGATAAATAGTCCCATTTTGGTTTCAGTTTTATCATCGAATCAAATAAAATTATTTATAATAATAACTCAAATGCAAATATAATCTATTGGAACAAAAATAATTTTACACTTGACTAACAGAAATGGAAATACCAGCAAGCCTAAGTCCCTTTAGTTTTTACCAATAAATACTTATTGACCATTCGTTATCTTTCTAAAATATATTCTCGAAACTGGTCAAAAAAATAAACTGGACGCGTAAACTCCAAATTTGGAGCTCACTTACGCATCCATATTTTACCAAAGCTATGCATTGCATGTTTTCAAAAATGCATACAAAGACAACAGACGACTGTTAAAATCAATAACAATTTCTAAAACTGTATTCATATTAATTATTACTCAAATTAATTATTACTCACGCTAACTAATCTACGATACAAAAGTAATTGCCGAAATCTCCAAGCATGGTTCTCTGCTTAAGAACATTATAGAAAGATCATTCTTTTTTCAATTGAAAGAGCAAAGTCTAAAGTTCAAAATGCATACAAAACAAAATTATTTGGAGTTAACTTTGAGTGAGAAAAAAGTACCAGATCGAACGTCTCTAAAAACCTCTTGCAACACAAAATTGTTTTAATATTTTTATTAGAACTTGACATGAAACGTTTTCGCAAACATTAAATTAATGAGAAACTAGTCCATGAAAAGCTCTATCGGTTTCCCTACATCAGAAAGTTTCTCAGTAATCCTTTAACAAGAAATAACACCCATTATGTGTCTTAGTTTTGATATAAAGCACTACTTTGCAAGACAAAGCCGGGACATTGAGTAAAGTTCACTATTAAGAACTCTAAGCATGCTAATAAAAATTAAAAATAATTTGAATTTGTAGAAAATTGTACGCTGTTTCAGAAAGTGTGTTGTAGAAAAGGAGGGATTTTCGCCCAGGACCTGAAAATCATTGATTTTGTCTAATGACCAATTTTTTTGAAACTAATAAAAAAGTTGTGAAATTCAAGTCGAAAAGTGAATCAAAAAATAATATATTATATCCCATTGGAAAGAGTGACAAAAGTACTTCTGGTTACTGTAATTATATAATTTGAAACCCATGCTGTGATAACGAAAAGTAGCTTCGATATACGAGGTACGTTTGAATAGAACAGTAAGTTGCAAGAGCTTTTTACGTTATGTTTGATATGAAATTTTTTTCTCCCTCAAAGTTAATCTCAAATAATTTTGTTCTGTATGCATTTTGTAGTTTAAACTTTACTCTTTCAATTGAAAAAAGAATGATCTTTCTACAATGTTCTTGAGCGAAGCACCATGCCTGGAGATTTCGGCAATTACTTTTGCATCGTAGGTTAGTACTCACCCTAATTAGTACTCACATTAATTGGCACTCACCTTAATTAGTATTCAGCCTAATTACTGCAACTCTTAATTCATACTCAACAATTTATAGGAGCCAACCTATGAAGATACCCATAGGTTCTCAAGGGCTATCTTATAGAGATACTTATAGGTCCTCAAGGACTATCTTATGAAGGTACTCATAGATCCTCAAGAACTATCTTATGAAGGTAGTCCTAGGTTCTCAAGGGCCATCTTATGAAAGTACTCATATGTCCTCAATAGTGGTGGTACATTTACTTTACTTTTTCAAAAAGTAAATAAGTAAAGTAAATAAATTACTTCCTACTTACTTTTGTAAAAGTAAATATACCATTTACTAGTTACTTTAGTAAAAGTAAATGATTTATTACTAAATAAATTCAAATAAATTGCGCGTAATCAACTTAGAAAACTGCACCAAATGTCTGTATAATCTTGAAGAAGCAAGTTCCATAATCAATGTCATCCATACTGAATACCGAACTGGCGTTGCATTAATTTCTCATATTCCGAAATTTGGAAAGGAACCTATATGATCCCGTGAAAATGGAGGCGTGGAAGACTGGGAATGTAGTATCTTCTTGAGAGATGCACATTCCGCTCAAAAGATGACACATATCTGGGAGGAAATGCAACATGTTCTATGGAAGATGTGACTGAGGATGCGTCTCTAGATTCTGGGATGTGTGACACTGCTGACTTCAACAGTTTATAAGTGAGAGGTTCGAACAAACTATCTTTCTGTGGCTTTGACCTATCTATGACGACCTATCTATTGTTTTTTACGAGACTATCATAATAATAAGAACATACAATGAAATATGAAGCGTTATTGAAAGTCACATAAGCCTATGGATTCAGTTAAGATGAAATTAGTTAAACATCTCTACTATGGGCATCTAACAGAATCTTTAAGTGTTTGCTATGCAGAGGAATTTTCTTATTTTACGAACATAGTACTCTCTAAAAAAAAACAGTATTCTCGGAAACCAACGGAGAAAGGTTTCCGAGTGTTTGGAAACCCATTTCTTGCCCTCAAGAACCCTTTTATCGGTTTCCGAAAGCTCGGAAACCAATTTTTTACCCTCGGAAACCCTTAAAACGTTTCCGATAGTAACAAACTCGTAAACCGAAAAAGGTTTCCGAAGTTCGGAAACGCATGAAAGGGTATCCGAGGCTCGGAAACTCTTTTCGGTTTACGAGTTTGTTACTATCGGAAACGTTTTAAGGGTTTCCGAGGG